ATATTTTATATTTTATATATTATACGTATTATATATTATACATATTATATATAATACATATTATATATTATATATCATATGATCTACACCTATAAATGAAGATGTACACCTAGACGATTTAGTTAGTTGATCTCTTTGTATGTATGAAGGAAAGGAAGGCGAACTGGTGTCGCGTATGCTAAGAAAGATGGACAAACTGTGCATAAGAACTTAATAGCAAAGGTTTTTATTTGGATCGAATGCAAGAATAGAAAGGGTCAGCAGTAATAAGAAATTGAAACCTAACATGAATTCTAATATTAAAAATGCATCCTCTTCGGAGTATAGAGGGAGGAGAAGAAAGAATGTTTAGAAGGCGTTTGGAGCAGGTAAAGTGAGTGTGGGAGTTGACTTAATGAGGTGAAATTTTTTAACATCTGACGAGGATTGGTCAAAATCTGTGGATATAGATATAAATACGTGTATTTATTTATTTATATTTATTAATCTTTTCCATAAACAGAGTTTGAAGAAAAGCTTTTGAAGTTACTGCGAAAGTTCAATAAATTTTGCTAAAGGCAGTTGTGGCTTTCTTAATGATTTTAATAATTGTTGCCGCTAGTGTAGTTTTTTTTAAGAATAGTACACCTGCAGACGATCATGGTGTGACTTTCGTAACCGTGTTATGCAAGTAGGAGTAGTGTAAGTAAGAAGGTTAATTAAAATTGTGGATTAAAGTTTGTAACTGTTTCAACTCCGTCGATGATAATAACAGTCAACAAGTTTTTGTTAAGCAAGTACGAGTAAACAACCGTGATTCAGGTGTAAATTTGCTGCTACTATTGAATCCTCCTAAACTGTCTTAATCCGTCTCCTGTCAACAGAGAAACTTCTTTAGTGGCTTATCAGTTTAGCTGTTATGCATTGTAAAATTATGCAAATCTTTGTTGGAATAAGATAAAATGGAATGCTATGAAGAGTTTGTTTGAATGTAGCCGGCATAAAAAAAGGAGCGGAACTAAAATAAAGGAACTGATATTTTATACAGTACATTCCTTTGTGCCAAAGAAAAATTTAGAAGTCAATTAAATCAGTAACAACGACAAATAGTAAAACTCTTCTGTTTTAATGCCTAACTTTACTTAAAAAGACTTTTTTTTTAAATCGTTTTTACCTTGACGATAAGAAAACTTAGTTTTATGCAGCAGATTCAGCAACTGCTACGCTGATTGAGTGATCTCTAATAGTGTAATTTACTGAAGAGCTAAAATAGATCTGCGATGAAAGCTCTAATATTTTTTTTCTGGATTTTCGTAGTAACTTACTGCACTGCAGGTAAAGTAAATGCTTTCCATTTAATTTTTTTGTATTATATGCATATATTTGCTCCTCAAGAAGTACTCAAGCAAAAATAACTGTTGAATCAAAAGTAAAGTGCACAAAAAAAAAA